ACCAATAATAGTTATTATTAGTTATTAATTATTATTCGAGACAGGGTCTTGCTATGCATCGCAGGCTGGCCTTGAGCTCACTTTATAGCCCAGGCTAGTCTCAAACTCACAGCGATCCTCCTGCCTCGTTTTTCTTTCTTTTTTTTTTAGTACCAAGGATTGAACTCAGGACTCTGCTTGCCAGGCAGTCACTTACTCTACTTAGCTATCTCCCCAGGCCCCTGCCTCAGCCTCCTGAGTGAACTGAATATTAGGGGTGAGACTATTAATAGAGACTATTAATAGAGGTCTGCCCAGGTTCAAACTTAAAAAAAAAACAAAAACACATAGACCTCACTTCTCAATGGAAGCATGTCAGTGTTGTACTGTGAAATATATTATCATATGACTAGAGTAAGAATTAAATGTTACAAAAAACTGTCTGTCACAGAGTTATGTCCAGTATAGTTCCCGATTCAACCTATTCCAGCACTTCTATAAATGAACTCTTTTTGCTACTGGCTATGTAAAGATGGTGATAAATAGCTTATGTTCTCTAATTAGGAAATTGAGACTTCCACATTAAAAAGAAAATGAAAAGTAAAAGATTATGCTACAAGTATTCTTAGGCAAAAGAAGTTATATTTTTACACAAAAACTTACACAGCTAGAGCCCCACCCTATGGCCGTAGAAGCGATATTTTTAAAAGCAAGAATAATTATTAAAATATATCTATTACCCCGCTGCTCCGCGGCCGCACACGCGAGACCGGCGATGGCAGACGAGATCACCGAGGCTCAGGTCGCCCGGCCTGGCGGCGACACGATCTTCAGGAAGATGATCCGCAAGGAAATCCCCACCAAGATCGTTTTCAAGGACCACCAGTGCCTTGCCTTCCACGACATCTCCCCGCAGGCACCGACTGATTTTCTGGTGATCCCTAAGAAACACATGGCCCAGATCTGTGTAGCTGAAGATGATGATGAAAGTCTTCTTGGACCTTTAATGATCGTTGGCAAGAAGTGTGCTGCTGACCTAGGCCTGAAAAAGGGTTATCGGATGGTGGTGAACGAAGGCGTAGACGGGGCCAGTCTGTCTGTCACGTTCACCTGCACGTGCTTGGCAGGCGGCAGATGCACTGGCCTCCTGGTTAAGCGCCCTTTGGAGATAATTTTCCCTTCTGTAGGCAGTGAGTAAATTTGCAGGTTCCACTATGCTAAGCAGTATACTTTTGCCTGTGTATAGAGAGATTGAAGAATTATAAAAACCTCTGTGTAATAGAAGACATCATTGGTTGGGAAAAAAAAAAAATTAAATAAAATATATCTACTAAAAAGGCTATTCTAAATAGTTTTAAAAAGATTATAATTCCCAGTACTTCCTGGTCAAGGTTAATATTTAATATGACTGACATTGTAAACACTGTATTTATAGTTTGGGCATGAAAGCATTTTTTAAGTTATTAATTACCAAAATGTTTAAACATGTAATTGTCTCCTTTCTCTAACATATGTCTAGGACAGATAGTTTATAAAGTATACTTTCATTTCGTAGTGTCTCTAGCCAAGCTAACTGACCTCACTAAACCTTCAATTTCCTCATCTAAAGTATTAGAATAATAAATAGCACCTACCTCATAGAGGTGGTCTGAGGATTAAATCAGTTAATATGTACAAAGTGGTTGGCACCTAAGTGCTAAGTAGAAAGACAGGAAATACATGGATGTGGTAGTGATATATATATAGTAATAATATAATTAAATTCATCTTCTAAAAGATTTTCAAAGGATAATTCAATATGATTATTTAAATATTTTGTTAACTCATTCAGGAAGGGTAATTGATTTTTAAACTATTTGCTTTTCCTAGTTTGAAAAAGAAAAACAGCATGATATTCGGTCATTCTTTTTACCAAAATCTAAAAAAGGACAGTTGGAGACCTCCTGTGAAGAATCAAGGATGTTCCAAGAGAAACACAGCAGAGTGGCATTGAACCCTAGAAAAACAGATTCAAGAGATATTGATTATGAAAGTGATTTTGAACCTGAAGCTAAAAGACTGAAATCAATCACCATCAATGCCTGTAGCAACTTCCTAGATAAAAAACCATCTTGGGCCAAACAAACCAAAGCTGTGATTGTGGAAGGTATCCATGAGGCCCAGTCTCCATCAGCCACCCCACTGGTTCCTGAGAAGGGCTGGCAGTGTAATTTCTGCACCTATATCAATAATTCAGCACTACCGTTTTGTGAAATGTGTGAGAATCCTCAAAGCAGTGCTGGTGAGTACAAGCAAGGTGACCATGGAGGTGGGGCTGGCAGTGGTATCTTCGGATGGCTGTGCTTTGAGAGACTGCTTGTTCCCAAAGGTTAGTGTGATTCAGCATTGATTTAGCTTGTAAAATGGTTTAAGAATTCCCGTAGTGAAGACTGGGAGTCTACCCCTTGTGGAATGTGGAAAGCTTCTGGTTCTGTCAAGAATGTATATCGTCATGTATCTGTGATATGACATTAATTTGGCACAAGTGAACATTTCTGATTAATGTCAGCAGGATGTGAATAGAGTGGGCAGGAATAGAAGTTCTGTTGCTATGGTAGCAAATATGCCTTGCTGTCATAGACCTGCTGTTTTCTTCCCTCTGTAGAGATACTTGTTTTTAAGGAAATTACAGATTATTTTTATTTAAATAGCAAAATAACTCAGTGTAGTTTCTTTGCCTACTCAGTATACATTGTGCCATATTCTTGCTTGACAAAAACTGAAAGGTCGTCTTTTTTTGTTTCTGTGAAGATTTTTTTTTTTTCTTAATTGGATACAGGGTTCTCGCTATGCAGTTTAAACTTGTAGTGACCCTCCTGTCTCAGTCTCCCCAGCACTGGGATTACAGGCGTGTGCCACCATGCTTGGTTTTCATTTTGGCACTGTGTGCCCAGGATTCCCAGGACCAGCATGGCATACGGTACTGGGGATCAAGCTCGGGTCCTTGCAGTTGCCAGGCAGGCACTTAGACCACTGAGTTATCTCCCCAGCCCTGAAAGATTATCCTTAAGGAACCAATTTGATGCAGTTTTAGGAATTTCTTCCTTTCTAAAACATTATCTTAAAGTTAGCAGTCATAAACTTATCTCAAGTATGTTTTTATAGCATGATATGCCATTTCCTGATGTTTAGTGTTTGAAATGGTTATTAAGACCTGTTGTAGGGGCTGATGAGATTGCTCAGTGGTCTAAAGCACCTACTTAGAACAAGCTAAGCTAAGCAAAGCACAGGGACCGCAGTTCAATCCCCCAGCACCACATGCCAGCTAGCCCCTCCCCCTGGTGGGCTGAGCTGGCCACACACACACAAAATAAATAAATAAATAAAAATTTTTAAAAAGAAACAAAAAAAAAGACCTGTTAAAAAAAAGATCATTAATATTTTTGGTTCTAATTTTGGAGAGCATTTTTGTGATAATGAAAAAGTGTCAAGTTGACAGTTTTAGAATCTAAAGATTGTCATCTTATTTATCAATAGTAATGATTGTTCATAATTAATCTTCCATTATGCATTAATTCTTCAGTATGTTTACATAAGACTCAAGCTGATATGAATACCAACTCTTTCTTTCCTGCCTTGCTCACCTCTCTCAATTTGATCTGAAGAAAAATATAATCAGCAGCTAAGCTTTTTCTCTTTCATGTATGGATGTTCCTACAAAAATTGACAAGTCTGCCATATGGGCAGTTATATTTGTATTGTGGGCTCCTGTTTTCTGTGCACTAAATTGGAACCACAGCTTCTTCTCCATACTATCCCTGTGACAATTAGCATGACCCCATGCAATTCCCAACTGTTACTGGCAATAAAAATAAAATATATCATGACTATAAAATGATGCCAGTTCACTTAAGTGTATGAACTAACTGATTTAGCAAGGAAAATCATAGTCTAATATGGATTTTATAGTTATGACTTTTTCTTTGTGATATTAGGAACAACAGTGAAAGTTCCTAGTACCCATGGTTTAATAAATTGTCAAGCAACTTTAAAAAGCAAACAAACTACCTTTTTAAATATGAAAGTCTATTTAAAGAAATGTAAATATTTTAAATAACTGTGATATTATTGTATGAGTTATAATTATTAGATTTATGTTACTACAATTTGTCATAATGACTTCCAAACTTGATTTGATGTATACCAGAAGAATTAAAAAGTAGAAATAATTTTAATTTATAAATTTATTAATAGTACCTTCTATATAAATGAGGAAAGGGTGGAATCCAAAAACTTATGGGAGCAATATTAGAATGACCATGTAAAAATTGCTAATTTATTCTCTTAGTACATTAGAGAAAATGTGATATGGTACTATATACATTAAATGCTAATATTTAACAATATATAACTATTTTCTTTGTTTTGTTCTTCACATCTGTAGTTTATTCCTAACAACTTATAGCTGTAACTGCCAGATGTATCTCTTTCACTTGAATTCCAGACTGGACATGTCTACTGGCCTATGTAACTAGCATCCCCACCTGGATGTCTAATGGGAACCTCAAGCTTAATATATCCGAAATGATATTCTTGTTTCATCATCATTGTCATCATATCTAACGCCCAAATCTCCTCTCCAGTCTTCCCTATTTCATGCTAAAAACCTCAGCAGTATCTCTCCTTTGCCTTACACACTCGATATATCATGTAACCTCCAAAATGAACCTTGATTTCACATACTTTCCCTTTACTCCTACCATCTGCCTGGCAAACCACCTCATTCTTTTTTCCAGATCTCATAGTCCCTGTTCTAGTCTTCCCCACTCTGAATTTTCTGTAGCACAGTAAATGGAGTGATGCTTTAAAATTTTAGATAATTATTCTTCTGCCTAAAACTCTAACAGATTCAGAACTGAATCAAAGGATACAAGCTCCTAGGATAGGCGGCCTAAGTGCATGAGTAGAGCTAAATTGAAATGGGACTCTAAGAATCTGGCCCTGGCAACATTTTAATATTAATATTCTACTATTTCTCCTTTAATTTTTTTGGATTCTATCCTTTATTTTTCATCCTTTCCTGCTCCCAATTCTCTTATAAAAATCCAGTTTGTGTAATAATGCACTTTTTTTTTTCACATATTGTCTACCTCTGCCACTTGGAATGAAGCTCAGGAAGCAGGGATTTATCTGTCCTATTCTGTGCTATCTCCTAGCACCTAGTACTGGACAAATAGTAGACAGTAAATTTTTTAAATGAATGAACAAGCCTCATTAACTGTTTATTTTTGTAAAACCTAGCTATGATATTTTAAAACTATGCTTTCAAATGTAAATTATTTTATTTTGATACTCCCACAAATAGATAGCCCCAACCATGTCCAGGCTATGAACAAAAATGAAGATGAGTCTCAGAAAAACACCTCCAAAAAATTTCAAGTTAGCTCAGACTGTGAAAAACAAGTCCTTGCACAACCGGAACCTGACCAGTTGGCTGAGAACAAGGGAGAATTGTCAGAAGAGGAGAGGGAGGACAGATTCACATCCCAGCCGTGTGATGGTAAGTCTTGTTTCCATTCCTAGATCCAGATAGTAACCATGTACTTTAACACATTACTGGATTTGCAATTGCTTGTTCCAGGTTTCTTTCATGTTAAAAAAAAAAAAAAAAAAAAGGGACATCCACCAACCACATCCTTAAGCACCGGATGGCTGGAAGGACAGAGTATGTCTGCTGGCATTAGGACACCCCACAGAGAGCAAAACCAGTAAATAGCCACATTTGTTGCCATGAGGCCTATTGCCCTGGCCCGACCAAACCTACTCTGTTTACACAGTGAGAATGTTGTTTTGATTTCTAGGAGGTGCTTTGGACAAAATACTAAGATTGACAGACTATTAACATCCTCTTAACAAATCATTGATCCTTTACATATGAATTGTTTTAAGCGGTCATACTTAATTGGCATGTTTTAAACTTTTTTAAGAAACATAATTTTAAGACTGTATGAACTGTAACTACATTTAAGCCAGCCATGTAGTATTTCTGACTTATTTGTTGCTTGATTCACTTCAGTATTTATAGTTGGGGATGGTTAGCAAATACCAGCCTGTTGTCATACAGTACTTTTATGGGCCAGCTGCAAAAACCTGTTGAATGTTTTTAGGTCAGTTTCCTTGTAACTCATTTAGTGACCTACAGCTTGATATTCTTGATTAACATCAACTCAAAATCGTTGGGATAGGACTGCTGAAATGTTTTTTTCTTTTTTTGGGCAGGATTTCACTATGCAATTCAGGCTGGTATTGAACTCATTTTTTAGCCCAAGCTGGCCTCAAACACAGAGATCCTCCTGCCTCAGCTTCCTGAGTGCTAGAATTACAGGCATGTACTACCACACCTGGCTCTGAAATTTTTTCTTTTAAGTCAGTTTCTATTAAATCTTCATGTAACAACTTGGAGTTAAGATTTATTCCTTTAAAATGAAATGTGTATTTAAGACTGTCTGAGTTCCTTTAAAATGAAATGTCTATTTGAGACTGTCTAAGCTCCAAGAATCTTATTTTCTTCCTTTTAGCCTTCCTTCCTTCTAAATCTTGAAGGTCTTGCCAAAGAATACTTTGGACTGAATCCTGTTTAGTCTGTGTTTGCTTGTTTGCATGCTTTGTTTTGTTTCTACATTTCTGGTATTGGGATCAAACCTGAGGTCTCATGCATGGTGAGCATAGACCCTACCACTGAGCTACATTCCCAGCCCTTAGGTCTAATTTTAACAACCTGTAACTAAACAGCATATATTCAGCTGGCGTACGTGCTTTGTGTCTCTAGTTCGCTTATTCCTGCCACGAAAAAGCTCTCAAATACTGATGAAGCTCTAGCTATAAGACAGAATATGGCTCAGTGAGCCAGATGTAAGATAAGGAATGAGCCTCTGGTAATTGTCATTAACTTTACCAAAGCAGGGAAATAAATACTGACTTGTTAGCTATAAATTAGTCTTCTGGATTAAGACGTGTTAGCTTAATCTTACAAGTAGTTTTTTAAAAATCACTGGACTTTAGAAATTCCATTTGGCCAGTGAAATTTACATTGGCCTCATGCACTGCAGACAATGTCAGTATTTCCCTCCATGCCTGGCTGTGCTTTTTTAACTTTTTAGATGACAGAACTCCACACAAGAAATATAGGCTTCTCATTTTCCCCCTAAGATGGATTTCCATGAAACATAGAAGGACCAAGAAGGCTCACTGTGTTAAATGCTTATTCTACGTATGCTTGCTCTTCTAAATCCACAGTGATGCACACTACGCTGGAGCTATAATTTTCTAACTAGAAGTCCAGAGGTCTGGAAGGATGGTTGTATCTTCAAAAGATAAATCATTATAGACCTGAACCATTAAATTACAATTTATGGAAACCCTGAAAAGAAAAACATGTTCCCTCAATATAGCTGTCAGTTATCAAGAATGACTATTAACTGACTTGGAATTGATCTTATAATTATTTTTCTCAGCGAATGATTTGTTTGTTTTGAGATAACATCTGAATTTGTACTTCAGGCTGACTTTGTCTCATAAAGCTTGGGTTGGCCTCAGACTCCTAGTGATTATCCTCCTGCTTCAGCCTCCCAAGCACTTGGGAGTATAGGCATCCACCACCACACCCAATTCAAAAAAGGATTTCTTTTTTGTTTCTTTCCTTTTTTTTTTTTTCTTTCAAAGAAGGATTTCTGATCTTTAAGTGTTAATGCATACTTCTTCAACTATGAAGATACAGTGATTATGAAATATACTTATTTTATAGACCATTAAGAAAGAAAACATACTCTGCCAGTTAAACTATGACATAGTACTTTTAATAGTACCCCAGACCAGGCCATACCATCCTCTATTGCTTTGACATTTCTTTTGTTTATTTGATGGATTTGACAGTATCCCCGGCCTTCACTTGCTTTGCTTAGGGTATAATAGGCAACCATTCTGCACATATCAGTAAGCAAATGTAAGACAGCTTCCTATATTTGCAAAGTTCTTTTACTGAGATCCCATGAAACACTCAGTTTAGTTTATCGATAAAATAAAATATTTTATTTTCTCATTGGTATATATATATTTGCTTCTTTGATATGAAATCTATGATCTACTTTGTATATGTTTATATATAACTTTTCTTTCCAATACCAAATCATTGTGAAAAATTTTTGAAGACATCTTAAAGTTAAACTCAATATATGTAGCAACAACTGTACATGGACCTCATATTTGGTTTTGAAGTGACACTAGTATTATAACTGTTTACTAAGTTTATGGATGCCTTGGCAATAACAACTGGGTCACAACTGCCACCTTGTCAAATATGATTATAAAACCCCATTGTCGTAATTGACTACAAGACATACCAATTTCAGAGATGTTAAAATACATTTTCACATTTATAACATTCAGGAATAAGCCAAATTTGTTAACTGGCCAGTGTTTTGATTAGAAAAATAATAATTTGACAACATTACTTTTTGTTTTTTAATGTATTTAGTACAGGGTCTACAGGGTTCACTATATAGATCAGACTAATAGTGAGCCTCCTGTTTTCAGCCTCCCAAGCTCCAGGATTACAGGCACACACCACCATGCACAGTCTCAGTCACAGGCTCAGTGAGCCCGGGGGGCAGGGCTGACACAGCACGCAGGGGATCGAACTCCGGTCCCTGCATCTCGCATCTGCCTAAGCAGGTGCTTTAATCTGCTAAACTATCTGGCTGGCCCCATAGTAGACTTCTAGATGTGGGAAAGTCACTAAGGGACTATGGCCAACCTTAAGAACACAAGCTCTAGAGCCGTATTACTGGGTTTAAATCCTCTTATCTGGGGCGAATTAATGTGCCCTAGTTTCCACCTATTTGAAATGCACTATTTATTTGTAAGAGCTATACTTAAAATATATTTCAAACAGTTCATGAAGAGACTGGGCATAGTGTTACACCTGTAATCCCAGCGTTTGGGAATCTAGAAACAGGAGAATCACTGCTAGTCTGATCTGTATAGTGAGAACCTGTAGACCCTGTACTAAAATAAAAAAAAAAAAAAAAAAAAAAAAAAAAAAAATGCCAGGGAGATAGCTCAGTAGAATACGTGCTTGCCTGGCAAGCACAAGTTCAATCCCCATACCGCAAAAATAAATAAATTAAAAATGGGCCAGAGATCTTAGTGGTCTAAAGCACCTGCTTAGGGAAGTTTAGGGAAGTGCACAGGGATGGCAGTTCAATCCCTGGCACCACATGCCCTACCAGCCCCACCCCCAGGGCAGGCTGAGCCGGCCACACAAATAAATAAATAAATAAATAAATAAATAAAATAAAGAGTGTATGGCCTATTGCATGTGCTTGAGTACTAACCATAATTCTTATTTAGACTTGGTTTGATAATTGTTTATCCTGCAGAATATTAGACAGTAGGTCTGAGAAAAAGTTTACATAATTATATCTACTCATCTTCCTTTGTGAAGTGAGGCACCAGGCCTTAGGGAATCAAGCATTCAAATGGCTTCAATATATAAGGTATCATCAAAAACAATAGTGACTAAATTTGGAAAATTTTTATTACAGTAAAAGGACATCGCCATTAATCCCCTGCACCATACTCCCCCCTTGCTTTGAACACACTCACTCCATCTTTCTTGCTGCTTTCCAGAGCAACTCTGGAATATGCCTTTTGTGTCCTTAGTTACCCTGTCATGGCTACCTCAGCGTCCTAAACTGATTCAAAACGTTCACCTTTTGTGGCCATTTTGACTTTGGGAAAGAGCCAGAAGTGATATGTCACATCTGGTGAATGTGGGAGATGAGGACACATTTTAGTTTTTTATGAACTTGCCTTTCTGTTGGGTGCTGCTGGGCAATAGCACTCACCATATTTTTGTGTCACACCTTGTAAAGATACTCATGAAAAGACTTCAAAACTGCTTCAGAAAGTAGCAAGAATGATGGGATAATTGTGCTTGAGAGAGAATAATGAATGGCATTGTACTTTTTTATGTATTTGGTACAGGGTCTCACTACACAGCTTAGGATCATAGTGATCCTTCTATTTTCAGCTTCTGCTGGGCTGAGATTACAGGTATGCAGCGACACACCCAGTCTCCATGGCTGACTCAGCCTGGCGGGGTGCAGGGCCAACGCAGCATCTGGTGCTGGGACTGAACCTGGTCCCTGCATTTGCCTAAGCAGGTGCTTTAGTCTGCTGAACTATCTCACTAGCCCCCATTTTGATGTTTTGATATAGCTGTTTCATTATTCCAACCTGCAAAAGATTAAAATAAACTCTCTTAGGAAACAGGAAGGTGTACATTTTTTCTTTTGTCTTTTTTTTTATTAGAAAGACTGAACAATTCAGACATTCTGCCACTATATGATAGCTTAATGTTTTGTGCAAGTAAGAACACTGATCGGATTCATCTCTATGATAAGGTAAGCATCAGTGTACAAATGTCATTGTTCATTTCAGATTCTCTGGCTTGAAACATGGAAGAAAGGTTCCCTTTTTTCTTTTTTCTTTCTTCCCCCCCCCCTTTTTTTTATATTGCAGTGAAGATAGTCAATGTGAGATCAACAACTGCTTTTTTTCTTCCATAAAGCTAATTATCAGATTCCTATGTTAAATCTAAAGACAGTGAGAGACAACACAACAGTCTTTAACAGCATAACTTCAGGGCAAGACTCTTCAATTCAAATCTGTTACTGTGTAATCTTGGACACATTACGTAAGTAAGCGCTCTATATTTCCATTTCCTCGGAAGTAAAATGTGGAAAGATCTGTTGCAAAGATGAAGTGAGTTAAGTCCTATAAAGTACTTTGCACAGTGTCTTGCCCTCATGAACTGTATTAGTTCCTACACTTATCCTTTGAAGCAGCAGAAGCAGCTGCATCTTTACAGAAGCCAAATCTCCAGGCTGAATAAAGGTAGGGTTGGAGGCAGAAAGAGAAACAACCTCAAACTCCTGGGAGAGGCTGGAGTGTGCTTGCTGCCAAGCACACCGTAGCAACAGCTCACTGACCTGTGTTGGGTTCTGCCACCTTGCCTGTGTGCCTCTGCCACCTCTCCTTGACATTGCTGTCTATGATCTCAAGCATATTTTGTGACTATTCTAGGTATGTGTGTCCCTTTACCATAAAATATTATCATTTATTTTCTGTATGTTATAGTTTGTGTCCAGTTGTCCCCCCAAAGCCTCATGCAGTCATGGGGCAGACTTCCAGAGTTTGTGATTAACTCATGATCCCTTGGGATTATGGGTGTAAGTGGTGCTGGGATTATGGGTGTGAGTGCTGCACCCAGCCTGGGGTGGGTAGCCTGAATGCAGCATAAGGCAGACGGACTTCCTCTCAGTAGCCATTGTTGCCACTACTCTTCCCATTTGTTCTTGGTGTCTTGCTCACGAATGGCTGCTCTCTGCCATGTGCAGCTCTCTGCCTTGGAGCCAGACCGAAACCTCCACTGACTGTGAGCTAAATAGACCTTTCCTTCCTTCATTTTGGGTGTCAGTTATTTTGTCCCAGCAATGAGAAAAGAGTAACCAAGACACTGTAATTTTCTAAACAGATAACACTAAGCAGATGAAATGTTGGCTTATCTTCACAGATACAACAGAGTTGAGATAAAATCTTTCTTTTACATATAAATAGCCAAAGTAAAACTTAGAGGTAGAAATTTGTATAAAACTTCTAGTCTATCTATTGCACCCCTTAAAAGAAAGATCAGTAACAAATATTTACTAGCATGCATCATATTAGACTTGTTCACTTCAGCTAGAATTCCAAGTCTATTGTTTTAGAATTACATGTTTCGATTATATATCTAAATTTTAGAATTATATATAACATAGGCTTAGAATTACATATCTAAATTTTTAATCAGTATGTAAGTGCTTTGTGGGTTTTTTAAAAAAGTGATTGTGGTAGTTGTAACATTTCTTTTTGGCTAAAAGAATTAGAATATGAGTTGAACTATTGTTGTTATGAGAGATTTTCATATGAGATGTTTCTCTTCCTCTTTAAAAAAGAAATAACCTCTTACCTGTGTTTAATTGTCTACACCCCTGTCTGTGGTTATTTTTTACCCTTAAGTGTTTGGGACATTATGAAATTGACTATTGCTACCTCGGTGCAGCTCTTTTACTTTCCAGGTAGTGCATTGTCAGTGAGTCTGCGTGGGCCATAACTGTGACTTTAAGGAAGCCAATTTTAAAGTAATTTCTCTAGAAATTCCCTATCTACCTTCTTACTTCCTTGTTTCTATAACAAATATATTAACCCATTTTTAGAATTTGGGGAGAGATAGCGTATTTCTTGGTGCCCTGCTTTGAAATGAGAAATATTTTCAGATTATAAAGAAGTTTATTTGTGACTTTAGGAATGGTTACACTGCTATAATTTCAAAGATTTAATGGTACTCTTCTATATTGATTTTCAGTGTACAAATTTCATTGTTCTAATATGTATTTCTAAGGTTGGGTACTAGGAAGGGGTGTTATAGGACAGTAAACAGTGTAATAGGTTGAAGGTAGAAGATTTGGGCTAAGTGGGGCAATGCTTGTCTATAAAGAGCATGAGGAACCTGTCTCCCCTCCTCAACTCAGTTCCTCCAGGAAACTGAGAAGATTGGGGAGACTCTTGTCTAGAACTTTGTAAATCACCCTGGCTTATCTTGAAGGAGACTGGATATATTATTCATAATATAATTATTTTCTTTTAAGGTAACTGTTAGTGCCTACAGACAAAAATGGATTAATAATTGCATTACTAACCTATAATCTTTCTAACCTATAATCAGGATGGAAAACAGATGAACTATAATTTCATTCCTTTGGATATAAAATTAGACCTTTGGGAAGACTTACCAGCAAGCTTTCAACTAAAACAAAATCGCTCTCTGGTAAGTATAGTTCTAAATAAAATAGTTGTATTTGTTTTAAATATATAGTTCTGTTACTAACTTTGGTGATTGCTTTGAGTTTAATAGAACAGTGCGTTGCAGCCTATTACAAAATCAAATCACTGGTTACATTTTTTAATCTACTCAGGCAGTGTCTATTAATTATCCTGATGCTAAGAATAAATGTGAAATCTGTTTCTTTGGCAGATGATCACACCTAGAGCTGCTGTTTCTGTGGAGAGAATCATCCCCACATCTCATTCACAGGATTAGCAACTGTGACATTTGTATCTGTCAGAATCACATTCTATCTCTTGAGGATAAATTCTAACAATGGCAAATTCTGAGAGGAACTCACTGTCAAAAGCAGCAGTGTACAGTTACAGGCCAGGACACTTGCCGGAGAGGTCTTAAATTTAATCTGTGACTTTTATCTTTGCTGCTAAGAAGGGTCACCCTGTACAAGGACTGACCTACACAGTCTTATTTTTTTTTTTTTTCAAAGCAAGGAATTAGTAATATTTTTCTACCCTTTGAGTGAAAGTAAAGCATTGCCCTTTACAGGTCAGCTGTACCTATGTTAAAGAAAAAAGGTAGCATTGGGCTGTTTTCTTTAGTATTAGCTAATCCTGACTCTAAGATTCCTCCCAAAATAGTCACTAACATATAATCAACTAATAGGTAGAAGTAATGGCAACAGTAATTAAAAGGTCCTCAATGTGCTGATGGCTATTTTTCCTATGATAACTTAAGTATCAGATACAAAGTGCTTCTCAGATGCTGCACTGTTACATTGTCAGCCCTGCTGTTCCCAAGGCAAAATTTGCCTTGACTACTGCTGGATTATGTTCTTCTGGACCTGTTTTGGTCTTGATGTACACATCAGCAGTATTGGTCCCTTTGTGTATTAGGTACGCACTACATGTCCTAATGTGTGCCTGATAGAAAATCTTTGAGTTGAAAGAGATCTCGTTAGAAGTGGCCATAGTTTGTAATAAATATATGAAAATTACAGTAAATGAAGAAAGCCCATTTCAGTGATATAACAAAACATGAGTTTTCTCATGCTGTGAATTACTTTCAAAGGAGGGTGGCTGGTAAGCTGTTCACTGTTTTTATTATTTCATTTTCTGCCAGATTTTGAGATTTGTTCGAGAATGGAATAGCCTAACTGCCATGAAGCAGAGGATAATCAGGAAAAGTGGGCAGCTGTTCTGTAGTCCAGTTCTTGCTCTGGAAGAGATCACAAAGCAACAAGCCAAACAAAGTACCAAAAGGTATGAATCATCTTTTCTATTTTATATTAAATTACTTTTCATAGCTCTATCTATAGGAGATCTGAGGCATCTTATGTAACCAGTAAAGAATTACTAATGAATTAAAAGAAAATTGTACATAAAATCAGTTATTTTATAGCAACATATGAGATATTTAATGTATCTGATCAAATCGTAATTCTCTGTAGGCTTATTTCTTAAGCAAAAATGATGAAGAAAAGTAGTCAACTGCTTTGTAGCCCAGTTGCTGCTTTGGAAGAAGTCAAAAACAAGAAGCCAAACTGTAACATTGGCAAAGCAAACCATTTATCTCTTGAGATATTCATATATCTACAATTTCTCATCCTCACATGCTATCACTTCATAGTCTCAGTTCTTTAGCTTTTACTATATATACAGATTTTTAAAATCCATCCATGGTAGGTATATCGGGAGGGGGTCATAACTGATTAAATAAATTTTAATAATCCTATACAGTGAAAAATTTCCTCAGCTGTGTGGAGGTACGCTGTCAGGTACATATGCACAATAATACTTCAGGTAGATTAGTAAGACTAAAAAAATTGAGATTTTTAAAAGAAATTGAGACACAAATATATAGTTCCTATTATTGTACTGGAAATTTTCTAAAAGGGCACCTTAGAAACTTGATGGAGGTATCCCCAGGAGAGTTTTTTCAACTGGAAGAAGTTTCATCCCCCAGAGTTAAAATGTCTACAGGTACTTTATATTGTCATGACTATTGAATGAAGCTGGGGCACAAGCTGTGGGGACAGCCTCAGGATGCTGCTAAAAATCCTTCAGTGAATAGGACTACACCCCCAAAGACATTTCTGTTTCAGAATTTATACAGTGCCATTGTTGAGAAATCTTGCTTTAGGGCTTAAGATTAGGACATTTGGAGGCAGTAAGTACCTTCTACCAGGAGTCACAATTCATTACTAAAAGTCAAGTAATAATCACAAATAAATGAAGTCTGGTTTAAAATTAGAAAAGGATTGGGTATGGCTGGGATGATGGCACATTGGAAAGTGCGTAAGCCATCTAATGTCTTTCACATTTAGGTTTTAAATAAAATACTTTTTAACTCAAAGTCCTTTGACTAATTAGATTTATCCATGAATTGCCTATGGCTTCATGGCTAAACTCATGGATCCAGGTTGAATTTTTCCCTTCAGCATGTATTACTTTATTAAAAAAATATTTGAAGTACATGTGTATGCATACACATAACTATACACCATACACATATATTCAAAAACATACCTGCTGTATTTTTCTGTTTATTTGTCTTGTTTTTGAAACCACAGCCTTAGTTTGAAGTATTGATTTCTGTTATATGATCATAATTGCCTTCATAACTGAACTTAAAGTCCTCTCATTTCTAGACAAGCTGTATTGTTTCTTCTCTTGAGACATAAATGACCACTTAAAGAACCAACTGAGATGACTGATCATGTATCAAAGCAACAGTCCACTCAAAATCAGTGCCAAGCAGAGAAAGACACTAATCCATAAAATTAAGTGTAACTGATGTATTAAGAGTATCTTGTATTAACAAGTATCATATTAAATAATCAGATTTTTATTTTTAAGACCTCACTCCAGCAACAATTAAGAGATCCAGTCAAAAGGGTAAGATAACTAACATTCATTTCCTTTTGCTATATAACAAATTATCACAAAGTATCACAGAACACCACACATTTATTATCCCACAGTTCTGTAAGTCCGTCTGAAGGCTAGATGGACTCCTACTGGTTTCTCTACTCTGAGTTGTTTTTGTTTTTCATTTTCATCTTTGTCTTTTGTGAGACAAGGTCTCACTAGGCAGATCGGGCTGGTCTTGAGCTCACTTTGTAGCCCAGGCTAAAATCCTCCTGCCTCAGCTTCCCCAAGTGCTGGGATTATAGGTGTGCACCACCACACCCAGCTCTCAGCTCTTGAGTTTTATAAGGCTAAAATAAAGGTTTCTAACTCACAGACTTGGTTCAAAATTCACATTCCATGCAGATACAAGAATGAAATTTCCTTTCCTTGTTGGCTGTATTGGGGACTACCATATCAGAGCATTTCTTTGAGAAATCTTTCTTGCTTTCCCTGTGCTTTTAATTCTTGTTTGTTTTTGAGACAGGATCTCACTATGCAGTGCAGGCTGGCCTTTAGCTCAGCATGCCATGCAAGTTGGCCTCAAATTCAGTAGCAATTCTGTCTTAGTTTCCCAAATGCTGGGATTACAGATACATGCCACCACACCAAGCTTACCCTATGCTTTTATTTTTTTAATTTTTATTTATTTAATTTTTTATCTTTTATGTATTTGGTACAGGGTCTCTCTACATGGCTGGGACACATAGTGATCCTCCTGTCTCAGCCTCCCCAGTGCTGGGGTTACAGGGGTGCACCAACACACCTGGTTTCAGTGGCCGGCACAGCATGCAGTACTGAGGATCAAACCCAGGTCTTTGCACTTGCCAAGCAGGCACTTAGACCACCAAGCTATCTCCCTAGCATTCCCTGTGCTTTTAAGGACTCATGTAATTATATTGGGCCCACCCCAAAGTCTCTTTATTACAGTTAGTTGATTAGTGATGTTAATTATGTCTGCAGAGTCTCTTATAACATTACTTAAATTAGTGATTGGTTAAATAACCTGAGGACAGGAATCTTAGGAGATAGCGTAAAAATTCTTCCTACCACCCAAGTTAAAAAGACCATTGTAGTAGAGCTGGGATAAAGCTGATGAGCATCTCTGTTAAGGCATTAACAACAGAAATGGAGGGAAGAGAATGAAGAGAGTTGTAAAGGAGACATAGCTTAGAGACCTGATGACCAATGAAGAGAAGGAAGCCTGCCAGGGGAACTGACTTTACAGAGCCATAAGACATTTACTGAAGGGAAACACTCTCATGAAGGCTAAATATAGCAGAGCCTCAGCCAGTCTCAGTATTTTGGAGTAACCATGAATCTCAGAAGGCAGGTATGAAAGATGGGACTGAACATCAGCAAGTCTTTCTGAAGATCAGTTAGATCCTGAATCTCCCTCCCGCCAACCTCCTGACTTACTTTCCAGAGAAACTGAACCACGGAGTCCCCAAACCTGTAAATACCAGGCTCAGTAGAGATAAAGGAAAAGGCATTATGCTGATAACATACTCCTCAAATCATTTTCTTCACTCAATGTCAAGAATGCTACCAGCCTTCTTCATAAGTAGTAGGAAGGGGAATTTGGAGGTGCCCCTCCATACATACACACACCTGTACTAAGTGTAAAACCCAAGGGCACTTCACCAGTGAGCTACGTCCCCAGGTGTTTTGAGATAGAATCTAATTTACCCAGGAGCTATTCAGATTTATGTTCCTCCTCCTTCAGCTTCTCAGAATGCTGGGATTAATGCATCCTTTTAGTTTAGGATTCATCTCTTTAAAAATGTTTTTTCTTTGTATTTTAGGGAAGGGTCTACAGGGTGTTCAGGGTCTCACTACTAGATTGTACTCATAATGATTCTCCTGTTTATTGCCTCCCAAGAGCTGGGATTACAGGCACGCCCCACCATGCCTAGTCTCAATGGCCATCTCAGCATGCCCCAGGGGCAGGGCTGGCAAGGCAGGCCCAGGGATCTAACCTCCGGCCCCTGTGCCTGCTTGCAGGTGCTTTAATCTACTGAGCTATTTGGCCAGCCCTCTTTAAAATACTGAATGACTCCAGAAAGACATGTAGGTGTCAACTTTAGAAGCCCCTCCCAACCCAAAGCAATGGCTAGATTTCTAATAAGATTATCCTGCAGTGACTCCACCAGTTTGTAGGACTCATGTAAGATGAAACCTGATAGCCTACTTTTGGATAGCTCACTCTTAGATGTAAAGCCAAGATCTCTAACATTGTTAGAGTTCCATTTTTCAGAGGCAGACCTGATTTGGTCGGAGCTCTGTCTTGCTTAGGATGCCAACTATTTGTCCTTGCTCTATAGCTGATATACAAAGCAGGTCAGCAAGCCAGAGCCCAGGATTGTATTCATTAATGTGGACCTCTTTCCAATACACATTCTTCTCTTGGTGAAAATTGCCATCTTCCATTCCCTCCCCATTCAAGAATTAATTTAGTAGACAATATTCCTTCCCTATTTGCCCAAGTTTACTTACTAAAAGGATTATTTACCATAATCCTCGTAAGAGATGCTATACTTACATGAATTTTGTACAAAACCTAAGTAGAAAATTAAATATTGGCAACTTGGAACTAGATTTGAAAAGTTCTCAACTCCCTTCTTTGGCTTGATCAGTTTGTTTCTTGTGGTTTCGAAAACAGTTATACTTAAACCTATTGTACAAAAGAAAGAGTTTATTATTAGTTCCTAAATCTCTAACTAGGTTTCTCAGCACCTTTTAAAGTAAACTGAATTGGGATTGTAAGCTTTAAAACGGGGTAATACCTGAGGCAAGGATAGTATGCCATTGTCCCTCAGGAAGGTCCTTACTTCATTTAGAAGCTACAGAAATATTGTAGCAATGTGCTTTTGTTAAGGGAACAAAATGCTTGAAGAAACTGGGAGCTGGGGAGGAATAAAAGGTCAAATTAAAGAACTCGAAAACAATTTACTGTGGTTTAATTTCTTTTCTGCTTCAAGAAAGACACACAAGTGAAATGTAAATATATGGAAAATACTCCCCTGTACTCTTACAGGGGAAATACAATTTTAAGCTGTAAAGAGATGTCTAAAATACTTGAGGGAGATTCCTACTGGGTATAGATGTTCATAAATGATACAGTTGTGGTTGTGCTGTTGAAAATATGAGGACACAGGTCCTCTCAGTGCTGGTAGAGACATGCACCACTACAACCTGAGAGTAGTTCATCAAAATCTACTTCTGCTTAGGTTTTTTGGTGCATCAGAGACCAAAGAAAAGAAAGGCCTCTATTGATATGGAGAAGACCACAGGGAAATGGCTGAGGTCCTCTGATCTGATTCAAAGGGAGCTGGGGTTATATGGACTTTTCTAGGGGCAGAATTTGAAGGGTGGGCTCTGATGTACAGAGCTGATTAGTGATTACTTTGTGTGTATTTGGGGCTGAGGGGTTTCGAGGAGGAAGCAGTCATTGGGAAGACAAGCTGTTGTTTGGGTTTTACCCATGTTAAGCCATTACCATAATGATTTACCAAACATCTGACAGCACTGTTTATGGCAACAAATACTGAAGACAACCTAAATGCCTATTTTATTTTACTTTATTTTATTTTTTGTATTTGGTACAGGGTCTCACTATGCAGCTCAGACTCGTAGTGATTCTCCTATTTTCATCCTCCCGAGCACTGAGATTACACGCGTGCACCACTATGCCCAGTCTCAGTTGCTATCTCAGCACGCCCCAGGGGCGGGGCCAGCAACAGCACAAAAGGGATCAAACTTGGTCCCTGCACCTGAGCTATCAGGTCAGCCCCAAAATTTGTACATTTTAAATTGGTGAATTTTGTGGTATATGAAATATTTCAGTGAAGGAAAAAGTAAGTAAAAGACACACACACACACGCGCGCGCGTGCGCGCACACACGCACACACATACACACACTGTAAAGAATGGTCTGAGGCAGAGACCAGCCAGATCGGCAGACTTGTGTAAAGGCAATGTGGCATGGAATTTATTGTGTCTGGGTGCAGGCAGGCAAAGGCCAAAAGAGCTGTCTCTAGGGAGCAAAGAGGAGCAGGCTTTTTTATAGGGCTTGCAAGAAGGCAAGAAACATTAGGTCAGAAAATCTTAGTAAGCCTCAGTGGTCAAAGTTCTCTGGCTGTCTCATGCTTCAGTGGGCAAAGTCCTTGAAGCATCCAGAGTAAATGCTTGGGTGTCTTCAGATGACAAGGTGTTTGGAAGAGTCCCTGCTCCATTTTATCACCTTTAGGATGTTCTGTGTTTGCTGAGGACACCAGTGCTGAGTTGAGAACAGTGCTTCTGCTGGCAGACAGGCTGGGTATTCAGAGTTGTGCAAAGATGGAATCTTACATATCCAAATGGAGTCTCACATGCAAACAAATTACTTCTAAGAAGCTGGCAACAGGGATAGGTTCTGGGAAGGGCAAAAATGGAATAGGAATGAGAGAGAAAGATGATTTTTACTACATAAACTAATTGCATGTCTTTAAAGTTGGAACCATGTACACATAGCACCTAATCAAAATTAATAAAACAGTTTATAGAAAGAAAGATATCTGTTACTTAATCTACATTACTAATTTCAGGACAAAGCAGATTCTTAAATTTTCACTTATGATTGTATTATATCATTATGATTGAACTTTAATTTTATTTAGTGAAGAAATTTATGTTTAAGCTAATGTTTTAAAAATTCCACAATGGGTGTAAGGGAACAGGGAAACTGGGCCATGCTAATCAGAAGGAATTAATTGGATAATTGCATTTCACCTAGTTAAACTCCCCTGCCACCTTTAATTAGAATTACTTTTGTCTTTACTTCGAGTGCCTAAACCATTATGTGTATTGATAGTATTGTGTAATAAGGTTCTGAATCCCCACTTCAAAGTGACTATTTTAGTGGAAGAGTCTCTAAAACTTGTTTGAACTGATACTAATGGGAACAACCTTGAGATTACAGGAGATGTTACTGAATGTAGTTAACTAAAAAGAGAATCACATTACCCATAAACACTGATACAAGTACTGTAACTGAGGTGAATTGATGGAATCCTTTAGGAAGGTGAAAAGAGGTAAAAATATACTTAGAAAGTTGCCATGTACTTTGGCAAAGTTTCCTTAAGGCTGTCAGTTGTGCTTGTATTTGATCATTTCTAATTCCCACAGTCCTTTTGTTTGCCTAAATTTTCAAAAATGGCCCAAATGATAGTGCGTGGCTTATGACTTTCTTTTTAAAAAAAATTAATCTTGAGAAAGCTAACTGGGGCAAAGAGTTGTATTTCTCACATTTCAGACCCCAGTCAATGGAAAAGGGAGTACTCCATTTCTTACCACTAGTATTAGCACAGTGAATGGAACTGTTGTCTTGCTTTTGCTCGTATTGCTTTTGCAAGGAGCAAGTGAACATGAAATAGAGAATCTGTATGTGAGAAAGAGAAAATCTATTGAACATGTAATTGTTGCAGATACATAACCAAAGAAGATGTTGCTGTAGCTACAGTGGACAAGGTAAAGAAAGATGGCGGCCACATCCGTCTGATCACAAAGGAATCCAGGCCTGAGGACCCTTCCCTAATGTAAGGACACAATTGTAGTAAGAATACTTCTTTAAATATATGTATTAATTTTGATAATAGTACCTCACCATTGTGTGGCTTATTTATTTATTTATTTATTTATTTATTTATTTTTGCTCCGAATGCCCTCAGGGGTGGTTTGGCTGGCTGGAGTGTTGTGGGGATCGAACTACAGCAACCTGAGGCTGACAGCTTTGTGGAAGCAGCCACTTAAACAACTGAGCTAAGGCCAGGTCCCTGTGTGGCTACTTTAGATGTTACAAAGAGATTTGAGGAATAAGAGCTCTTCTATCCTTCTAGCAACCCTAAGGGGCACATGATCTTATCATCTTAGAAATTAAAGGTAAAAAAAAAAAAAAAAAAAGAAAGATGAGACCTAACAGGTGACCTCAGTGACTTCCCCTAGGCCTATGTAGAAGATGCCGGAAGACCTGAGGTCAATCTTGGCATGGCCTCCCAGGCTTAAGCTTTTAAACTATAAAAGGTTTTATTTTTACCTTTCTAACACCCAACCATGAAAAATAAACCAGACATTTGTTATTTCCCATTGTAGGAATTTTCAACAAATTGAATAATGTGCTTTTTGTGGAGAAAAGGGCCAATATGTGCTAAGCAAGTGCTCTACCATTGAGCTACATTTCCACCCCCATCTGCTTCTTAAATTTTATTTTCAGACAGTCTCCTGAGGTTACCCCAGTTGGCCTTGACCTTGTGTGTCTCTAAACACAGTTTATTTTTCTTTCTTGAAATGTTATTATGTTTCCTAACAAACTGAGCACACATACTGTCATGTTCCATTCCTAATTATCAACTGTGAATTTATATGCTGACCAACCAGCAAACATGATATTTAGCAAGCCTTTAGTTCCAATTCCTGTTACCTTTGTCATGTACTTCACCATGTCACTTTATGGCTATGAAGGCTCACTATATAAGCCCACAGAGAGAGTCTGTAATAACTTCTCTGGTTTATTGAGCTCTGTGACCCACCATGGTTAGAGAACTGGCTAGCTACTAAGCTTTAGTTGGAGTTTTATGTTAGCCTGTTCTTTATTAGTCTGAAGAAGCATATTTTTTCTCATTTTCCAACTTATCTAGATGTTTCAGTCTGACTGTTTTAGCATGGAAGCATCTAAGTTCCTGAGAGTCAGCACATATCAAATTAATTTTTGTAGTGTACCCTTCTTTTTAACTTGCTATAAATTATGGGGTGCTACCTATTCCTATCAAATCTCCACACTGCATCATATCTGTGGACCCATCCTGTATTCACTGTTCAGATCTGAAAGCTTTTATATTTTTGCATAATCATTCATTAGTTGCCTGTGCAATGTTTTGTTCAATTACAGACACTCTCTTGAAGATGGAGCCTGTAAGCCATTGCTAAATTCCTACACAGCCCACACTGATCTCATGGTGAAGTCCTCTACGTCCAAAGGCTACTTGCAAGCTGTGGATAATGATGGAAATCCACTTTGCCTTCACTGCCAGCATCCCACTGGCCAAACTAAGGGAGAGTGTACAACAAATGCGTGGGATTCACGGCTTTGCTCTCTAAAATGTCAAGAGGCATTTTGGATTCGATCTAATAACAGTTACCTGCGAGCCAGAGTATTTGAAATTGAACATGGTGTGTGTCAGCTATGTAACATAAATGCACAAGAACTCTTTTTGCGTCTGAGAGATGCACCTAAAAGCCAGAGGAAGAGTTTTTTGGATGCTACCTGGACCTCAAAACTCTCATTAGAACAGGTAAATTATAGTCATGTGACAGAAGGCAACACTGCACTGAGTGATGGATATCAGTTCATTCAGTGCATTTTATAACTTTTAACATAGGAAGCCTCCGATATGTATATAAAAATAGAGCCAATAATAAACCCACTTACCCATCATCTAGCATTAGCAGTTACCCACATTTTGCCAGTTGTTTTCATCTGTCCCTTGCCTCACTTGCTTTTTGTTCCTCCTAAAGCAAATTCCAAACAAGAGGCTTAGTTTTATTATGTGTCTCACAAGTATGCTTCCTTCCTCACCTCTTTCTCCCTCTTCCTCCTTTCTTTCTTTTAAATATAATCACAATGAATTATATCCAACATAATTACAATTCCTTAAATTACAATACATTCATGTTTGGTTTCTCAGATTGTCTCAAAAGTGTCTTTCTGTAGTTGCTTTGTTCAAATTAAGATCAAGATATGACCATATACCATTTCTTATCATACCTTTTTTCCTCCATTTAATCATAGTAGCACTTCATATGTTTTTTGTTTGCTTGTTTTGCTTTGTTTTGTTTACAACAGGGTCAGCTATGTAGTGCAGGCTGGCCTCAAACTCACAGTGAACCTCCTGTCTCAGGAACCTGAATACTGGTGTTATAGTCGTGCACCACTATACCCAGCCATAACCTTCAATTGTTGAAGAAATGGGGTCATTTGTGTGTAGATTTTCCTACATTCTGGATTATCTTCCAGTATCCGCATGGTGTTATTTGACATGGTCTCTCTCCTACCGATTTCCTGAATAATAGTATATCAGTTACAGATTCTGAGTTAGTTATTTTGAGAATAACTAAGATCAGAATAGGTGACTTATTGAATCAAAAGGCACCTAAGGCTGGGATTCTACTTTTCATCATGTTAACATTGAATGACAGAGGGCAAAGGGATTACTCCCAAAATGTAATTCATTACAATGAGGAGATATGTATTTTTATATATGTAATTTTAGTATAGTGATTTATGATGAAACTGTTCTTTATAGCACATTATCATCCATATTTACTTTGATTTTCAAAACTCCATTGATTTCTGATTTTGTTATCCAAACAGTTCTAAATTTCAAACTAAAGCACAACACATAATTTTACAGTAGGCTTAATTTTGAAAAGGATCACTTGTAGAGCCAAACATGGTAGTACATGCTTATCCTCCCAATACTGAGGAGGCTGAGGTAGGAGAATCACTAGCAGTTCAGGGGCATCCTGGGCTACATAATGAGTTTAAAGGCAGCCTGAATTACATAGCAAGTCTCTTTCTCAAAACCCAGAAAAACCAAATAAATTCCAAAAAGGACCACTCCTGTACCATTCTTTACCCACCAAAACATTACATGAATTACATGAACTTCTGCCAGCTAGACAAATTATATATATATATATATATATATATATATATATATTTCACCTAGTATTGCTAAATTATAACAGAATTAGTAATCATTCTATAGAGCTGAATTAGTATGTCTTTGAGAGCTAGAAAAGTGCACTGTTTCCTAATGTCATGCAGAGTTCCTGAAAGATCCTTTGGTCTAATTGATGAGGGACATATTGCACCCTTCTAGGGATATTGACCAGAATCCAAATACTGTCTACTGCCACAGCATGAAGGGTTCCAACACATTCACAATGAAATGATTCAAGGTCATCTTGAAAGCAGTAGGATATACAGAAGTAGCCTGGTAGACATCCAAAACCAAAGTGCTCTGAGGATAAGGAACACACAGGAGTCTGGTGGGGGCAGTCCTGTCAGTAATTCTTTCCAAAGGCAAAATTAGGTTGTTGAAGAGGGGTCCCAAGTGATTTACTATACAATGCTAGGAAAAATAACCAAGTACCTTTTTCATTGTTGAATCTGTCAGAGTGAAAGCTGCTCAGAAAGAAGATGTTGATTACAAAAGGCAGTACCACATGGCTTTTTTTAAACCCGAATCCAGCTCAGCATCTTGTGCTTGCCAGGCGCGCACTGTGATGCTGAGATATACCCCAAGCCTGGATTTTTTTTCTAAGAATATGTTATTTTCTTGATATGCGAGACTGCCATTTGTAGTTGCTTTCAACAGTGCCAACTTTAAAAATAAAAATTAACTTCAAAAATAAAAATTACTGTGCATCTTCTAACAGAAATGGGAAAGTTTAATATAGGTGAGAAGGGCTGGCGAGATAACTCAGGGGACTAAGCACCTGCTTAGGCAAGTACAGGGACCGGTGTTGGATTCCTGGCCCCACATGCCACAGCAGCCCCACCCCCGGGGGTGCTGAGCTGGCCACCAAGACTGGGTGTGGTGGCACACACCTGTAATCCCAGCGCTGAGGAGACTAATAACAGGAGGATCACTACCAGTCTGAGCTGCGTAGTGAGACCCTGTACCAAATACATAAAAAAAATTTTAAAATACACAAGAGAGAATAAGGCAGACAGTAGCAAAGGTCAGCTACACAAAGTTTAGTGCTCCAACTTGATCCTTTTTGGGCTCCACATAGGTCAGTGCTATTGATCAGATCCCTGTTCCATCAGAGGATCTTAAAGCTGTCTTACAAGTGTGTTAGAAGCAGTCAGGGGTTTTCCTGGTTACCACTCATGATGTTGATGATGATTTGCAAGACTAAGAAATCAAAAGCAACTGCCATACTATTTGTGATATTCTAACAATTATACACCCATGGTACCAGTTAGTTTTGCTATCTCAGGTAAAAAGTTAAAATGCATTCTATTTTAATGTAGGTCATCAGCGGCTAAATATAAAGTGTGCAGAGAGAGAAAAAGAGAAAGAGAGATTGACCTACATAATGACTGTTTTTAGTGGGCATCTTTGTTTATTCCAGAAGTTACTAAAGCTTTTTAAAGAAATTTCATTCTAATCCACAGAACTTAAGAAGTTCTCTGGTGAATAAAAGTTTGAGATGATAGCTCTTAATATTAATATGCCATTGAGATAGTAACAGATATACTTAGGTCAATCAAAGTCAGTAATAACTAGAGAATTTTAAATTTCTAATCTGTTCTTATTCTTTTCTCACTTTTGGTTTAGTGACTGTATAAACTAACTGAAAAGTACAGAAATCACTTACCTTTCAGTTCACTTTTTTCTCCAACCTGTCAAGAGTTTTGGTAATTAATACTAGCTTTTAAGTTTTTCACAAAATATTAGGTAAGGGAAAAAAACTTTTTCAGAGATACACTATAACTTTTGAATTGCCATGCTAGAGGAGTTTTTTGTACTCAAAATAAAAGGTATGAAAAGCTATCTACTGTATTTTCCCAAGATATTGCTGTATAGACATTATTGTACAACACAGACCAACAGTTCCTACAGTGTGTTGAAAACTGCTGATGTTATGTTCTTATTGCAGCTAAATGAAATTATAAGAAATCCAGGGGAAGGACATTTCTGGCAAGTGGATCACATTAAGCCAGTATTCGAGGGAGGAGGACAGTGCTCGCTGGACAACCTACAGACTCTCTGTACAGTCTGTCACAAAGAGGTCAGTGACACTAATGGCCAACTTTGATGCCATCCTGAGAACTCCAATAGGCAATTATGTGTATAGTGTAGGAGATTATGTGAATGAGTTTTGACCCTTGGTGTGGGGTCCAAGATGCATTATAATTCTTCCATTACTTGACATTTGCCTTTCCCCTGAAGGCCTATACAAGTCCTCAGTCATAGACACAAGAGAAGCTGCTTCTCACTTAATGCATCTAGGACCAAGATAGGTCACCACCACCTAGAAGAGATACGAATACCATTCCAGATTGCATGGTATTTTGCTTTGCTGTGCTGTGCTGTGCTGTGCTGTGACTCAGACCTTCAAACTGAAAGTTCTATAAGTTAAAGCAATTATACTTGTTCATATGTGGTTAAGGTTGTCCTTTGGAGGCTGAGGTAGGGGGATCACAAGTTTAAGATTAGACTCAGAAATTTAGCTTAGACACTGTCTCAAAATATAATTAAAAGGTCTGCAAATATAGATTGTGGTAAAGCACTTGCCTAGCATACACGTAGTCCTCAATTTCATCCCCTATACCAGAAAATAAATAACTGAATGAAAAAGATAGCCTGAATATCTGAAAAATTCATGAATGATCTCTAGAACCAATTCTACTCAACAAACAGGTTAGTGTTGGCTTCAGCATGAAACCTATTAACTTGTACACATATTTGACACAATTAACTGTTGCTTAAAATGAAAGAGAAAAGGTGGCATAGTGTCATATTTGCCAGGATGAAATGTTAACACACGATCCAAACTGGGCTTGGTGACACACACCCATAATCCCAACACTTAGGAAGCTGAGGCAGAAGGATTACCATGAATTCTTAGGTAGCTTGGGCTATGTAGAATAGACAAAGTACATGGCCCAGTAAAAGGTTGTTGGATGTACCTGTTGAAATAATCTTATTCAGTGGCAACTTTTTATTCAGCATTTTTCTATTAATGGCAAGATGTAAGCATTTTTCATATTTCCAGGCATTCAGAATGTATACCATCTAAAATGTAGTTGCATTACATTTTATTAGTTTACTTAGCCATTTTCATACTGATAAATGCTTAAGTTGTTTAAATATTTTAGCTCTTAAATATAATGCCTCTGGCACATTTGTGTAAAGACAATCATATTTTACATTTCAAGATCATTTCTTCAAGTAGACTTTAGATATAGAAATCACTGAATCAAAAGTGTTTGGGTATTTTTAACAGTGCAGGAACTTATTGACAAATGATTTGCTGTGGGGTTTTATTCATTTGTGCTCTCAAGTCTAGAAGTTAATGCAGTGCCCGTTTCATTGCACCTTAAAAATTGTGCTTTTTAAGCATTCTAATAAATTTATATATATATACACTTCTGAGAACTATTCATGTTCTTTGCCAGTCTTCATGACATGTGAATCCTTTTTAAGCATTCCTTTAATGTTTAAGATTCTATAATTTCTTCATAAGCATAAAATAGGTGAGATTATATCATATAGGCAGGTTTGGTCTTTAGTTTTACCTTTTCCCTTTTTACTCTTTTCACTTGGGTCTCTTCACTTTCAGATGGGCTTCAGTTGGGGGAAAAAAGTTAATTTCTCAGCTGTGCAAGTTACTAACAAATTCAAGACCTATGGGAGAATTAAGAAATAGCAATAGAAAATACAGCCCTTTCTCTACTTTTCTCAGATTCCCTGAAAATTTTATATCATCCTATATGGTACAAAATCTGAGATCAATAGAAGAATCCAAGGGGCCGTAGAGATGGCTCAGTAGAATAAATGCTTGCCTGGCAAGTGCAAGGGCCTGAGTTCGATCCCCGCTTCCGCCAAAAAAAAAAAAAAAGAAAGAAATAGAAGAATCCAGTTGCTGTATTCTCTACATTGGTTTATCTCTTGAAGTGGGTGTGGCTTCTGGGCCCAGCTAATAGGAGCCTTTGCTCACTGCATTCTGGGAAATCTCAAGATGCCTTTGTGAGCACCTGCCTGGATGAGGAGATTCACAGCCTTCCCTCCTCTCCAGATGAAGCTTTTGTGACCTTACTGGGTAGGGTGTGTGTTTTCTCCTCCAAATAGAAGCCTAGTAGTCCTAGGTTCTCAGGGCACATGCCTGAACTATCAGGCCATTCTGCCTAGTCGTGTGGAGAACCACAAGCACTTCAGGACCAAGCACTAAGTGAAAGAAAAGTTTTTGAGCTTCTGTAGCCAGTGCTTTTTTTCTAATGTATATATTTACATGTTTGTTAATTTTTAGAGAACTGCCAGACAAGCCAAGGAAAGAAGCCAAGTGAGAAGACTATCTGTAGCATCAAAGCATGGATCTGACATAACACGATTTTTGGTGAAGAAGTAAGGTAGAAAAATATGTAAGTGAATGACAGATCATTTACATATGGCAGAATTTAACCCCTCCTATTTTTTTTATACCTAATATTGTAAGAGTGAAATTATCAAACAAAAACATCAGCCAGTAATTTAAACTTTGGTTTTGTTCTAAGTACTTTTATTGTTAAATAATTTTTGCAAGTATTTGGCTGGAAGTGAGATAAAACACTAAATATTTTTATGGTCTTATTGCTTCATGAAAACTTTCAATTATGTTTCAGCAAGATTTTATTGAGCTTTCTTTTTCCATAATATTCCTTAATCACTGTACTATGCATAGTGTTTGAAAAATGTGCACTTAATTACCTGAAAAATGCTTTTAGATTAGTATTGGTTTGGGACTGTTGTAGATATAAATGGAACATTACAAAACGGTAAGGGAAATTTTGGAGGCAAATCATTATTTAGAACTCTGGGCCAGCTTGATCAACTTGCTTACTATGCAAGAGAGACTTATTCACTAAACACTTCCAAAATAGGTTTGGGCTACATATTTTGGATATTACCTTTCTTGCTTTATTCCTCAGCCAATGATCTGTATTGAAAAGAAGCTTTTTAAAGTATGTTAATTGTACCTGTGGTGTTTGTGGAAAATGTGGTGTTCTGGGTAATTGTTAAAATGATTAAAGAACTGAAAACATAAAATGCAAAATGCTATGCGAGCCTTATATTTTTAGGTTTTTGGCTTTTTTATGTTTAATGTGTACAACCAGGCTGTCAAAACACCCTCATCTCCTGGTGCTCATTTTCTGATTGTAAGCTGTTTTATTAAAAGTAGACTTCTGGTAACTCTTTAAAAGAGTAATAAAGATAACACTTTAAAGCATAATCAGAGGGTTATATACACAGAAAAATACAATAGTGATACTAAAATGAAGCTACAATAAAGAAAGACAGGGGTACTAAAACCCAAGGCCCAGTCCTGCTGCTGCGTGTAAAAGCAGAGTCAGAACTACACATACAGACCTAAAGAAGAATTCATTCCAAAAAGACATGTTTATAAATATTATTTAGATATAAACCTCATTTTTTGAGCATTTTTGGTTTTAATTAGCTGACATTTTACAATTTATTTTTAGAAAAATTAATACGATCATGAATACTCCTTCTGGAGTTAATGAGTTCATAACCATCATTGTATGAATTCTTGTAGTAGTGTTTGTTTAGAAATTCGGCTGGGCTTTCTTTGGCCTCTTTTCTGCATTGCTGCTCAGGCTTTTTGCACTTTTCTGCCTCATTTCCAGGGTAACCCATGATTTGTCATGGTTGAGCTGAGAATCCCAAAGCCTGGCACTTCGCCTTTCTCCCACCATGGGGTGTTTGCAAGTGAGAGTTTGGTCTAAGTAGGTCAGATTTGACTGGAGCTTGGTCTCTTTTCTTTTCTTTGAGATAAGGTCTTGCTATGTAGTTCAGGCTAGCTTTGAACTCACTATGTAGCCCAATCTGTCCTTGAACCTCCAGTGATCCTTTTGCCTCAACCTCCTGAGTGCAAGAATTACAGTCACGCACCAACACATCTCCCACCACACCTCCCGGCAGGAGCTTAGTCTTTAGATCAAAGTAGGATAATAATTATCAGGAAAAAAAAACTCTTGGGTGTAAGATTCATATGGTGATTTAAGGTAAAATAACCCATGAAGATGGTTTGTCTATGGCAGGTATCACAATTATGGCAAATGAAAAATGCTGTCAGGAACACCCCACATTTGCCACAGGATGTTGACTGGCTCATCTCTAGCCCTTCCTGACAAATCACAGAGCTGCTGTGCCTTCCTCTGATGTGATCTGATTTACTCATGGAGCACATTGTGATGAAGGGTTTTGGTACTGAAAATGAGGACAGAGATTGATCTAATAGCTAAGACCACAGGACAGCATCTTAGAAGAGTTTTTCTTTCATGCCCACAATCTGCAAGAGAAGCTGCCCTCTACAGATTGCAAATGAGAGGTTCTGAAGGACATCAGTGTCAGGCAAAGCAGCAGACACTCTAGAAAGAAATGCAAAATTGTCTCTCTCCTCCCTGCCCCTAGGGAACAAGACAGCTGCAGCCACATAGGAAATAAAGATGACTTGAAACACAGGATTATAGGGCTATATAGAAGGATGGGCCCAGCTCTAAGAAGACTCAGAGAAAAAGAAAATAAGAAGGATCTAAATCCAGGGTACAGAACTGGGACATAGTAGCCAGGGAATGAAACAGTTTACAATATGAGACCATGTGAAACCACACCTATGATGAGCCGCCAAGCTGGCCACTGTCCTGCCTCAGGAGCACAGCCAGTTTGGGGGTGCTGTCGACAGGATGGGAGGCTGCTTCTAGAGCAAGGTGAACCTGCACATCCAGATGGCATGTATGGCCAGTGTCTGAACCAGGACCCTCTTGTTCTGTCACTAAGGGACATTGATCCCAGACACTCCCAGAAGGAATTCATGAGAAACTTTTTTTGTCTACATTTAATACAGAGTCTACAAGGTCTCACTACACAGATCTGACTTGTAATGATTCTCCTGTTTTCAGCCTCTCAAGTGCTAGGATTACAGGAACGCGCCACCTCTCCCAGTCTGAATCAGTCTCAGTGTGCCCCGCGGGTGAGACCAGGATCGAACCTGGCTGCTGCGCTTTACAAGCAGGCAAATGAGAGGTTCTGCTGAGCTCTCAGGCCAGCCCCTTCATGAGAAACTTTTAAAGAAGCCTACTCTCAGAATTAATCATAGCCTAGTGTACATTTCTCAGAGAGATTTTCATATGACAGATGAATACCCTTTTCTTACCTATGGATGGGAAAAGAATTTTCTGCTCACATATGTTGCTAATAAATTGAATCTCTTTTTCAGAGCCTTGAATGAAAAATTTTAATATAATTCCTTTAGAAATAAAAGTATGAAGCACTTTAAATTATGTGTCAAAAAAGTCAACTCTCTTGGGAGTAAAATGGAAAGATTCTTTTAACTTATCAGGTACAGAATCATGGAAATCAAACATCAGAAATAGATTGTGGGAGTAATATCTCATTTTCTGTTACATATTTTTCACCTGTCTCTCATTCCACCTTTTATTCTTTTGAACTGGAAAATAGCGAGTTCCTAGTCCAGGCACCAATCTATTTGAATATTCAACCACTAGAAAAATATTCCATTTCACTTGAAGGTTGTCAGTTACTTTCTGTTATTAAGGTTATTTTGTCTCCTGGCTGTGCTCCAATTAACCATCAAGAAAAAGTGTGTTTTGAGTTCCATCTATCTGCTTTTCTACTCCAACAATTTTTTTCCAGTTCTCTCAAGTCACAACTAAAGTCTGTTCAGTGGTTAATAATACTGTTTTCTGCAAAATGGTCTTTAGGACACTTGTTAATTATTGTTCATTTGTTAAGGTATTCATATGTCACAGCCTTTCTGCCTTCTGTATAGCAAATGTCATTACATTGCAGAGCCTCAGATATCTACAGCTATATGATAGGTGTGTTAGTCAGCTTTCAGTGACTATAACAAAATATTTGAGATAGTCAACTTATGCACATAGAAGGTTTTTTTTGGCTCACAGTTTTAGAGGATTAGCTTGTTGATCACTTGGCCTGTTTGTTTTGGGGTCTGTAGTAAGGCAGTGCATCATAGCAGGAGAATGTAGTAGAGTAAACCATTTACCTCATCAACTGGGAAACAAAAAAGAAGTGGGTTGGACTCCCGTGACCCTGTCAAAGCATGTCTCCAGTGACCTAAGGCCCTCCTATAAAGTGATCTATCAAAGGTTTTGTGGTGTTCTGATAGTGCCACCTGGGGGACCATGCCTGTAAAACAGGCATTTCTGAGACCTTCAACATACATAGCAAAAGCTAAAGTCTGTTTACTAAGAAAGATCTTGGAGAGATTTTTTTCACCCAACATGGCTGACTAGCAAAGGTTTTTTTGACCCATCATCCTGCTATGATGCACTGCCTTACTACAGGCCCCAAACCAAGCAGGCCAAGTGATCAACACTGGCGAGGCTCACAAAGGATTCACTGAAAGTATAGGCACTCAGGAGAGGGGAAAAATGCACCCTGTAAAAGGAAATATTAATTTCAAAGATGATACATGTGTATCAGACCAAATACCTGGGTCATCGAGAAAGCGAAGGGGCATGTCGTGGTGGGCCCGCCCTGCGCACTTTGCAGAGAGCACCCGTCACAGAAACATCCTTCCTTCCTGCACTACTGTCTTTTGTGTTTAGCTGTTTCATAGAGAAATATTTCAGTTGCTTTCTCTTGTATGCATGTGTGTATTCTCTAGTTTCTTTTTGTTACCATGGAGAGTACATTTAACATCTTAAATTTTAATTCTGTGCTTTGAATTTATACCAGCTCAACTTCAGTAGCACACAAAAACCCTACTCCTAGAAAGCTCCACCCCCAAATCCCTTAAGTTATTAATATCATAAAACTGCATCATTTCCCATTGTGTGTTCAAAACATAGACTACTAATTGTTATTTTTTTTTTGAAGTAACAGCAGACATGAAATGACGCCATGTTTAATGTTATTTTTGCTACTAATTGTTTTTAATGTTTTAATCTCTAATAAATCATGTGAAAGCAAAATGAATTATAATACTTTTATAACTGTGTATTGTCTTTACTGGAGATACAGTGACTTTGAATTTTGTCTTGTGTCTGTTCAACTTCAAAGACAGCATTTCTTACAGGACTGATTGGCCTTTGTTACTTTGTGTGTGTGTTCATTTTGCTCACTTTTTTTTCAATTTTTAAGGAATAAAAACAAAAACAAATAACAAAAACAAAGATAGACAAAAACAAAGTAATATACAACAATACACATGGTACAGAATTTCAAAACAAGAATAGAAAATTAACAATGGTTGCTATATTACATATTGTTATCATCAAATCTGTTGCTCAGATTGCCAGATATAGGTATACGGATTGGTCAAATAATTAAACATTAACTCTTTTTTTCAATAAACCTTAATTTTTTTCTTGTCCTTTTTTACTTTTTCTTGTTTAATTTATTTTAGAGAGAGTATGATAATAATTGATAAGACATTAGAAATGGTATATGTTTATAAGAACAAGATGAGAGAGATATTCAATGTGGTTTTTGTATTGCACATTGCTGTCTTCAATGTAGTTGCTCAGATTACAGATATTAGCATGTAGAGTTAATCAAAGTGAGAATGTTTATTTTATTTTATTTTTTGGGGTACTGGGGATCAAACTCAGCACCTTGCACTTGCCAGGGAAACACTTATTCCACTGAACTATCTCTCCAGCAAAGTGAGAATTTTAAATATTAACTGCTACTTTCAAAAACAATGGAAATTAATAGTACGATGATCTCAGTATACCTGTATGTATACTTACATGATTTTCCCCTTCATTTTTTCCTATCTTTTCTTTCCCTCATTTGGTTTATTCATTATGTTCAGTTTCTTTCCATTTTACTATTATCTATTGTACTTTCATATTTTATTCTTTCATGTTCTTACACTAGGGAGACAATCCAGTGTTTATACGTGTAGGTCTGATTTATTTCACTTATGAATATAGCCTCTAGTTGTATCTGTTTACCTGCAAAAGCCTCAAGTTTTTCCTTTTTTAAAAAATTTGTCGGGGCTGGTGAGATGGCT